TGGGGAGGAAGGGAGGGAGGGAGGGAGGGAGGGAGGGAGGGAGGGAGGGAGACAGAGACAGAGATAGACAGAGACAGACAGAGACAGACAGACACAGACAGAAACAGACGAACAGCTTTCTTCCTCTCTCTCTTACACTCATGCATTGCCTTCTACCTACCCCACCCAGTCTTTCTGAACTCTCATTCCTGGAAGCTCCTGTGCTGGGACTACCCAAAGGAGCAGCTTTCTGGGTACTGAAGCCCATGTCAGCACTGCTGAAGAGGAGAACTTGTGCAAAACAAACCACGAGCCCCAGAAGATGAAATTTTCTTCCAGTCACTAGGCAAGGGCCCACCAGCTTCTAAGAGCAAAGACTATGAAGGCCACCACCTCCTGACTGGTTTTTTTCTCTGTTAGATATACATATTTTCAACAGGAAGTGTCTTCTACCATTCCTCTCAAGATTCTCTCCCTTGGAGGAATTCCCTCCTTTACGTGTTGACTGACATGGAAAATCAAGTTTCTTCCTGTCCAAAATAAGACAGTGTTGCGTGCCTGCCTGAGTGCCTTAGTGCATGCATGTGTGCTTGCTTGTGTACCTGTGTGCACGTGTGTGTGTGTGAGGCAGTCTGTTTATTGGTCAGCATCTTTCCTCCACTTTTGCCTCTTCAGTTGTTGTTTCCTTTTCTTGCCCTTGATTTTTTTTATTATTTTTTTCCTCATTCCCTGAAACAGCTGCTCCCGCCATCACCTCTGGATATCATCTCAGGCTCTTGCCATTCCAAGGCCTCTCCTCTGCAGCCTTAGCACCAGACATGCCGGCACTTCCCTATCTGTCTGCATTCCCACATCTTTTCTGATAGTCAGGCTCTGATTTCTACCTGTGGAGAATTTTTCACTTTGACACTTTGAAACCAGTCTAAATTTAACATTTAAACTAAGCTTCTCATCTTCTCACTGCTAAATTTCTTTTCCAGCTGCCCTTTCACGACATTACACTCAAAATCAGAGCACCAGCTGGCTCCTCTCTCCTTACGGCTCAGGGTCAATAGAAGTTTGCTCCTGGTTCCTTCTAATCAAACCATGGCTCTCACGTGGTCCCTTCCACTTACTCCACAGACACCATAAGAAGGGTTCACCCTTATGTTAGGACATGACCTCTTCAGGGGCCCATCTAGTTAATCAGCACCAGCTTCACCCCGGGACTTGTTAAAAAAAAATGCAAAATCTCAGACCCTACCTCAGGGATCTGCGGGAACAAAAACCCTACGGTAATATGATTCATATGTAATTCATGGGCACAAATGTTCAGAATCTCTGAATGGAATAGTGTCACATGAGGGTTTTCCTAACTGCTGCAGCAGTAACGAGTTAGTCCATGGCTAATCCAGGACCACAGAGAACTGCCATTTTAGAGCTGTGTCTTGAATGTAGATGTTCTTACTCCTTACATCCACATACCTTTGCAAAGGGCAGGGCTGAGGAGGGAAGCAAAGCCCCAACCTGTGTGGAAAGTGCATTATGCGAGGCTTTACTTTAAGCCTTTGAAATATCATTCTGCCTTCCTCCCCCTTCCCTCCATACTTCGGTGTAAACCATGCCAACAGCTTTGAGTATAATCCTTGTATCAGGTAGAAACACAGCTTACAGACTACCCTCATGTTTTATAAGCCACACTGATGGATAAAGACATTGCATTCTCTATAAACACCAAGTATAAGCATAACCTTAGCCACAAACTCCCAATTATGGCTTTTTAAATCCTAGCTGCTGATCACAATTAGCCTACTGAGCCCTTTGAAAGTATAGTAACTACATATATAAACTTAGATTGCCCTCATGCCCATCTTGAAAAGTAGGTATTAATGTCCCCATTTTACAGATTAGGTCACTGAGGCTCTAAGCAATAAATTAAGTAGCCCAGAAACTCATAGATTCAAGTCTGGATTGGGCAGATACCAAAGCTGTGCTCCTAACTTGCTTCCCCAGTGATTATAAAGAACAATGAAGGAAATAAGGATCCCTCGTAGGAATCGTGCCAGTTAAACTACTTATGACTCCTTGTGATTGGTTTCAAGTGGCTAAAGCCTGCCTAGGTGAAGGTTTTTGGTTTTTTTTGTTTTTGTTTTTTTGTTTTTTTTTTTTTTCCTGTGGATGGCTATATATGAAACCTTGACTCATAAAGATTTGTCTAAGATGCCTGGGGAAAAAAAGTGGGGAAAGAAAGAGTTAACATACTAAATGTTTATGGGTACAGGGTCTCCAGCAGCTCAGCTCATGTTGACTAACAAAATTCTAAGGAAAGTATCAGCTGCTGTCCCAGAAGCATAGAGGTGCTTACCTATGGGAAATGCAAATACCAAAGGGCTTGCTAATATATAAAGAAATCAGAGGAACCTTTTGAGGAATTTACTGCTCAGCTCACAGAGGCAATAGAAAGAATAGTCCCTAGCTCTGAGTCAAAAGATATTGTTTTAAAACAGCTGGCCTTTGAGAATGCTACACCCACTTGCCAGTCTCTTCTAAAGACATTAAAAAAAATCTGGAATTTTTTTTTCTTTTTTTGGTTTTTCGAGACAGGGTTTCTCTGTGTAGTTCTGGCTGTCCTGGAACTCATTCTGTAGACCAGGCTGGCCTCGAACTCAGAAATCCACCTGCCTCTGCCTCCCAAGTGCTGGGATTAAAGGCATGCACCACCACTGCCTGGCTGGAAATATTTTTTATTTTATTAAAGCCTGTGCTGAAGTTCCCCCTTCATATCTTCAAGGTGTGGCTATTGCAGCTGTCTTACAAGGTCAGACCACTACTCAGTATCTTACTAATCAAAAAAAGGAAAATTTTAATCAGGTAGGCGTGGCCCATAAAAGCTATTCATGTCACAAGCCTGGACATTTCAGCAAACAGTATCCCAGTAGAGCAAGGCTGTGGGCTGTCTCTCCAGGGAGCTCACTTGCCCACCGTAGCTCTTCCTGCATGGCGTCTGCCACCCAACCACTGAGCATAACTTCCCTCCCTGTTCCTCACGAGACGACGACTCACCTTTAATGGTGCCCTGTTTTCTGTTGACAGGAAGTGTATGTTGGAAAAGAAACAATGTGCACAGTGGATGGCCTTCACTTCAACAGCACATACAACGCTCGGGTTAAAGCCTTCAACAAAACAGGAGTCAGCCCCTACAGCAAGACACTGGTCCTGCAGACGTCTGAGGGTAAGGCCCTTCAGCAGTATCCCTCAGAGCGGGAACTACGTGGCGTCTAATGTGGCTGGCAGCCTGGAGGTAACCCCGTCAGTACTACATCCCTCAAGTTTTTCCATGACTTGCACTGTCTCCGGCCCCAGAGCCGCTGTGTCCCTCTCCTGCCTTTAGAAGGCCCGTGAGGTGTGGATGGGAACAAAGCAGAGACCCCCACATCAGTTCCAATGGCTTCCTTTGCTAACACTCTAAGCTGCAGTGGAAGAAGCTGACCATGCCGGCCTGAATGTGCCCCCCGGTGTCTAAGATGGAGGTTCTTAGACTCTAGAGCAGGCTCCCCTTCTCCACCGAGCCACACCAGTGGCCGCTTTTGTCCAGATGATTCTCTGTGTCTTTGTAGCTCTTGCTTGCTCCCCGATGGGGCTGGAATTTAGATTCTTCCCAGCAGTAGATCTGTATGACTTGAACACGTTTCCGGTGGGTGTGGGGTGCTAGAGCCTGTTGACCACTTCTGGCTTAACCAGCTCGGACTACTTCCTTTCCTACCCAAAGCCCAGGTCATCAGCACCAGGACTGAGATTTCCTGTGGGCACCAAACAGGAAGAGACCAGCAACTCTGCTTTACCTCACCACATGGGTCTTTGCCAGTATCTCTAGGGGTGGTTAGGCTGTCTATGGCCACTGTACAACATTGTCTCTCTAGAGGACATATGGTTCTTGGCTGTACTATAAATATTCTGGTTATTGGAGACAATTTGTCTAGAAGAAGGTTTGCATATGATGGCCTGGTATAACCTCTGAGGCATTAATGTTTTTTTATTTTACAAGCAGCGGGAGCCCATGAGACAAAACCTATGAAGGGTATGTGTGGCTGGCGCCAAAGCATTTTGAGACTTTTGGGTGTTGTTTTACTTGTGGATTAAATCATCTCCTACCCCACTGGCATTCGCCACAACTAATCTCTGATGTTGTCTTTGTTCAAATTCAAGATGTTAGCTAAAAGAACTGTTGGCGGCTTCTCCTACCTTTCTGCAAACCTCAGCATGTGTCAGTTACCCCCTAACATGCTTCACATGGTTCAAAACAAGCACAACTCTGAGTCCCACAGCAAGGGCAGAAGACCCGTGGCTGTGAAAGCAATGCTTTGGGGGAGTGGTCTTAAGTCTAAGTGAAGCGATAATTCAAAGAAGAGGTTTGTTAAGGATGATACTCACACAACCTGTACCCACAGAGCCCACAGTGGGACGACCTCTAGCTCTTTCCCCAGACTTAACATTTTAGCACCTTCCTTCTGGGATGCCTACCAGCTTGAGAGCTGTCGCCTCGTTTCCTGAAATACCATACTAAATGCTAAGGGCCTCCAAGAGTTCTTTCTAGAAGCACTGCAGAAGGCCTGGATGGTGCTGGCCACATTGTCCCCAGTGTGCTGAGGGTGGTTTGATGAGATGGGAGTGCTATAGCAGAAGGGCAGGGAGAAGCTGGGGCAGTGTTACTGATATCTGTCAACAGAACTGTATGGAAACTGTTTCTCTTCAAAGTAGATTATAGACCGCAGATTATTATGCTCAAATCAGCTACTAACAACCTGAGCACTTCTGTCTGTCCTTTCACCCCACAGGAAGGTGACATTTCTTAGTCTCTTTTCAATGTTCACAAGATACTGGTGTCTATTATTAGTTACAGGATGTGGACCTGCAATCCCCGTACCACAGTTACAGAATTGGGGATCATTTTCTAAGTGAAACTAATGGACCACATTCTCTACGAACAAAGAAACTGTATTGTAGAAATCCATTCCTCCATGAATTTTATATCATATATATTATGTGCATATATAAGGTATGTATGTGACTATGAGTCACCCCGGCCATCAATGTAGATATATCAGTGTTGTCTGTTACTGCCCACAAGTGATTCGCTCATGATGAAATAAAGTTCACACACATTCTTTCTCCACACTTTGGTTTGTTCTATTTGTTCTCCCTCATTTAAGTAGTGGCACAAAATTTAGGAAGTGAGGGGACAAATTATCATTTCAAAGGAGACTTGATCAATCTGTTACAAAGGAGAAAGCCCATCTCCTTAGATCCTTTTCGGTTTTCTAAAAGTCAATGAAAAAATGGCAGATAGAGATCTGAGAAGCCTCTTGCACTTACTCTTTCTCCTGTTATTTCTGGGAAGTTCACTTTGCAGTTTCTTGTTGTTTGTTTTGCTGGTTTGGGGCGGTTGGGTGGTTTGTTCTTGTTTTGTGATAGTCTTTCACATTCTCCTTAGCAAGGATCTACATCTTTCTAAACTTCAAAACAACAGGTCTGTACCTCAGAAGGGCACATTTCATACGTTACAGCAAGTCCAAGCTAATGACATACATGAAGTACGTGTTTAAATCACTTGTTACTAATACTCTGTCACAAAACCCAGAGGTGACATTACACAGGGTGGGATCAAATGTGTGCATTGTTGTGAATTCTGATCATACTCCCCATAGTTGAGTGTGTCTGTCTGTCTGTCTGTCTGTCTGCCTGCCTGTCTATCAGAGAGTATTTGATAAGTGGCCATGGTGATGCACAGTGGGCAGAAAGTACGGTGCCCCATTCCCTTGCTGGGTGGAGCTTACAGGCTAGTAAGGGAGATGGGTCTTAAAGAAACATGCACATAAGCTGAAAAGGAAAGACAACAAATACATAATAAAATTGGTCCAAAAAACCAATACACAATAATTTAAGCCAATGAAAAATGCAGTGTTATATAGGTTCAAGTTAGGTTAGTCTACTGAATGCAGACTTCTGGTTTCTGGGGATGTGTCCAGGATGGACACATGAATGAGGCCAGTCTCAGATCTCAACCAAACTCTACTGACTTAAGAAATATAAACATAAGCAAATATGAATTTTAATGAAATGACTCTGACAGGATAGCTCAGCAGGGAAAGGGGCTTGTCCTCTAGTCTGAGTACATGAGTTCAATCCTCAGGTAGGAAAGAACCAACTCCAGAAAATTGTCCTCTGTCCACACAAGCATGTCAGTGGCTCCCCCACACCATATGCAAGTAATTGAATAAGAAAATAAATAAAATATAAAACTTATGAAGTATTTTAATGACATATTAAAATAAGGCTCATACACTTGGTTGTTTTTGTTTGTTGTTGTTTTCTAATTAATTCATCAAATAACTCTCCTGACTATGTACTGCCTTTGAAGCCATCTGCAAAGAGTCCTGGAACCATTATGTAACAAGGCTTTCTTAACACACTATGTTCTGAGGCTCATTCTGTGTGACAGACTACCCCCACCAAAAATGTTCAGGCAAGGCTGAGAGGCTGATGAGGAACTTCCTGTTTATTTTCCCATGATTTCCCTCTGCCTGCCTGAGTCAACAGTACCTTCTGCTTGTCTGTCATAATCTGGAGAGACTGAGGTGCAACACAGGTAATACCCCTGGGACCATGGGGTCACTGTAAGGAAGGGTTTCCTAGGACTCTACTGTGTCTCCCAAGGCCAGGGAGCTCTTTAGTGTTCATACCTGACAGTCTTCCAGAGGAGGTAGTGCTGCCTCCTTGAGCATAGTATAGGATTAAGACCTCTACATAAAACCTACTCTTTATCTCTAGTTTCTGTGGAAGGTTCATCTGGACAGGTTTACTTCTGGGCATTTTTGAGGTCCTTGACCTGTGTTTCCAAATTGCTTTCTAGATAGACTGTATACCAGGAGCATGTAGATCATTCCAGAATAGTATATCACTACAATTCTTCTACCTTAAGGTTTAATTTAAAATAATAGGAAGTCACTTCTAAAAATAAAAATGTTTCTAAAATAATTTGGCCATATGTGTTCATAGAATTACTACCGTGATTGTTCCATACCTAATAGCCACATGAAATAAGTTGCAACACATTGCACGGGGGGGGGGGGAGTGGGGAGGATACAAGATCTAAGGAGGTAGGAGAAGACTTCCCAGGAAAGATGTAGTGGGAGAGAAATCTAAGCAGACAGAATTCAGCAGGCAAAACCCTCTGAAATCTACTTTAACAGCAACAGTAAACCTGATCATTCCAAACTTGACCAGCTGAGCATCTGGGTCTTGCCAGAAACCAACTTAGCCCCATATTCACAGAGATGGCATAAAGTCCAGCTCTCTCCTTTAATTTGGGGACTTTGCTGCTCTTTTGCACACTCCCTGAGAGGTTGCTGAGATCTGCATGTGGCACCGCTCCTCTTTAAGCTGTTTGCCCTTCAGTCTAAAACACCATCTTGAAACCATGAAATAAGAAGAATGGCCTGTGGTTAGCATGGGAGAAAGATACAAAGTCCAGGCTTATTGGTTCCTAAGTACCCAGTCTGCTCATTGCAGCAACCCCAGCAGCCACATTAGAGAAAAGACTAGGAGCCAGACGTGGTAGCCCAGACCTAGTTCTAGTTGGGGAAGGCAGAAGAATCAAGAGATAAGGGATAAGGATCTTCCTTGACTGCAGGGTGAGTTACATGAGCCTGTACTACATGAAATCCTCTCTCTCTCTCTCTCTCTCTCTCTCTCTCTCTCTCTCTCTCTCTCCCTATACATATATCGGGATATCATTCATATATATATATGAGATGGGAAATTGTTAGAGAAGTTGAGGCTGTTGAGGGCAATGAGCAAGGAGAAAGCTAAACAGAAGAGAAGAAAAAAGCACTCCCCCACTAGATCTGGAGTGCCTTCTATAAAATTTTTTAAATGATATAGTGCATTTTGGAGAGATTTCCATGTAAAGCATTTAAAAGTCAGCATGTTCCCCGAAGCCCCCAGTGGATGTCAAACATATTCCATAGGCTTTGTAGAACTACACCATGAAGTAAATACAAGCAACCAACCAGAAACCTTCACCTTAGACTTTACATTATTTTATGCCAAGCTGCTGAGAACTTCCTTCATTGTCCATCAAAACAAAACAAAACAAAAACAAAAACAAAAAACCTCCATGAAGAATGACAGTTACCTGAAAGCCAGACAATATTTTGTGGATAGTGAAACATAATAGAGAAATCATATAAAAACTAGTCATTATGGGGCTAGGAGGTGGCTTAGTCAGTAAAGCACACATTGAACAAGCATAAAGACCTGGATGAGGTTCCAGCACCCACATAAAGAACTGGGCAAAGTGGCACGTGCCTGTAAGCATGACATAGGAAGGCAGAAACGAAGATCCTTCAGGCTTGCTGGCTAGCCAGCTAAGCCCATTAATGAGATCCAGGTTCATTGAGAGACCCTGACTGAAAATAAAAATGACATGCTCACCTCTGGCCTCCACATGCTTGGGCATTCAAGTACACACACACACACACACACACACACACACACACACTTGTTGCATTTTACTATAAATTCATACATTGAAAAAGTTATCCACCCCCATGACACCCGCATTACAGACACACTACATCTCTGTGCCTGTCACTGATGTCTAGATCCCACGCATGCTCATGTGCTCGCACACGCATGCGCACAAACATACCCTACTTTGCTGAGGCAATAGTCCTCATGCACCTAATGTATTATTAGTCTTCTACTGGTGTAACAAGTGACCATAAAATTAATGGTTTAATGGTGTAAAACAGCACACATGATCCCCTTACATTTCTTGAGATCAGAATCCTACTGGGCTAACAGTGGGGTGTCAGCAGGACTGGGTTCCTTTAGGACAGTCTAGAAAAGCATCTATTTTCTTGTAATTTCAAGCTTCCAGCACCCACCTGCCTTTCTTGGCTCAAGGCATTTTCCTCTATCTTAAGATCTAGCAGCATAGCATCTTCTAGCCTCCTAACTCTGCCTTCCTTATGTAAGATCCCTTGTGATAACTGTGAGCCCACGTGGGCAGCCCAAGATAGTCTCCACATATCAAGAATCTTAACAGAATAGCTGCAAAGTCCTTTTCCTCTGAAGGGTAACCCACTCAGAGCTTTCTGAGGATTCAGATGTTGGTAATTTTGGATGGACCACTAATCCAGCTATCGAACCATATAAGGAAGCGGTTATCCTACCCCATTTGGGGCAACTAAGCTCTGAGAGGTGAAGTAACACTTCAGGTCCAGTTCTTTCAGACATTAGCACAGCACACTATGACACTGATGTTAGAAGAGTGTCATTTGCCTTTGCCTCTGAAAAGAGAAAAAAATTTACCCTGAGTCTGCCAGGTGTGTAAACACATCCTTTCAACACGAAGCTGCTTGTAATGTTACCTTGTCTGCTCCACTAGCCAGAAATAGGATGCTGATGTTTCCAGAGTCACAGTTGATTCTTGTCAAAAAGAATATAGCCTTTTTGCTTTAAGAAGATGTAGACATGGCTTCATTTCCAGCATATCTAAACCCTGCAGTCAGAAATCTCTGTACATCCTCCAGTCCCCATCCCAGGCAAGTACTTAGACTAGAGCAGTGGTTCTCGACCTCCCTAATGCTGTGGCTCTTTAATACACTTCTTCATGTTGTGGTGAGTACAACCACAAAATTATTTCATTGCTACTTCATAACTAATTTGCTACTGTTATGAATCATAATGGAAATATCTGAGAGACAGGAAATCTGATATGCCAACCCTGTGAAAGGTTTGTTCAAGCCCCCAAAGGAGTCACAACCTACGGTTGAGAACTCCTAGCCTATGGAGTCCCTTCTCCCTGGGTGTTACGATGGATGTTCTAGGTAGGAAGTGATAGTCACTGCCTGACAAAGAGAAAGAATGTCAGAGAGCTATGAGATCCTCAGAATTTCCTACAGATGAGGTCTGGGGCTTGAAGCCAAAGTAGACTGAAACCATCACAGAACTATTGATTAATAGACGCTTTCCAGCCCTCCAGATCTAATCGTAAGAAGGCAAGTAGAGAGAAAGAAATAAGAAATGTGAGAGAGCCATGTTTTACACAAAGATGAATAGTCCATCCAGAACTTTCACCAATTCTGGGCCCTGGGCACCAAGGAAAAGAGCATTCTCAAGAATCCTTGGTGGAATGTTCACAGTAGCCTTCCTCCCAGAATCCACCTGAGCAGACGTTCAGCCTTATGCTGTCCTTTTCAAAGTAGTAGCTTCTTCTCCCACACAGCAAAGGAAAACACCCTGAAATACTGAGCAGTATAGGCAGAATCTACCTCCATCCATCTGAACACCAAATGGCCTCAGGTACACATGCCTAGAATCCCTTTATAAATATAATTTAGGTGAGCCTAAGGATTTCTTTTTAAAACCCTAGTGTACTAAGATTCCCCATCCCATGGAAGTTGTAAGGAAGAGACCCCTCAAGTGAACAGTGTCAAGGGACACCACAGTCACTTACTCCTGTGGCCAGCACCCCAGGGGATAGTGGCACATTTGCCTTGCAGTTCCTAACCACTGCCATCCAGTGAACAACCCTATTTAGAGAATAAAAGGTTCATCCTCAATACAGTGCAGGATCTATGATTGGTGCTAAATCATCCCCTCGATCCTAGATGACCTCTTATGTCATTAGAAGACACTCTATGACCCATGACATGAACTTTGTTTTTTGTATACTTCTAAGACATTAAAAATACAAAATCAAAGACAAAACAAAACTCATTCTCCATTTATCCACCAGGAACTGATCTTCTCACTCCATATCCAGTCCAGCTGAGCATGTGACTTAGACATGTTTCTGCTTTTCTAGGCTTCTGTCCTTTTATAAGTAAAACCACAGAACTATTAAGTGCCTACAATCAGTGCTTCTGTGGTCTTTGTCTTCAGTATAGCTGCACTGTTACTATATATTGAATGTAGGTCAGATGCCAGTCCCATGTGCCTCCTCCGAGGTCTTGCTGGGTCTAAACATTATGTCTTTAATACTAAATATTCAGCATTAAATTAAATATTTGGGAAGCTATCACATATGGAAAAACAGGGGTCCTGTGAATGTGTTTTTTCAATGCTTCCACATTGTTTTGCCTGGCTCAGAACATCTTAGCCTTTTCAAAAGCTAACTTAATTAGAACATTCATTCCTAGGACAAAATCCTCAAGGTAAGTAAATCATACTTGACCAAATTTAGATAAATTTTACCACATAGAAAGAGAGAAAGATAAGGATAAATTTCAGAGCCCAGAAGAGAAAAATATTTTGTCCCTTTAATTTTGACATATGGTATCTCAAGAAATTTCCTAAAATTTTTCGTGAGACTGAGTTGAATCTACAAGCCTCTCTGTGGATCTAGAGAAATGTGCTCTTCAGTCCTTTGGGAGTGTGTGTATCTAATTAAAGTGTAAAAACTACCAGGTCTCCTGATATCAGGTCTCCTGATGATATTTGTTGCTTACAAATAATTCTATGATGTTATTCTGAATTAGAACGGAAGATTGGGCAAGGAAGTACGCAACCATCCTCAGGATGCCAGGAGCTGGTTCATTCTTTTTAAAGGAGGTTTTCAAAACAGATTGGAAACAGATTGTCTTACCCCTCGACAGCAATTACCACCATGCTTAAGAAAGCTTGAGATGCCACCTTTTGTTATAAATTACACACCCACTGGACATAATTGTGACTTCACCTGCCTGCTTGGTCATTTGAGAAAACAGCCTCCTTCTCCATGCTCCTCGTCTGTGTTTAAATCTTCCCAAGGAGAACAGAGCATTTCACGGCTGGTACACACTGCAGCAGAGTTCATCCTTATGCTGTTCCTGCAGCTACCTGTGGCATCTTCTGTTTGCTGTGCTCTGAAAACACATTTCTCCTCCTTAGACTGTGGCCCAATGGCTGCTCAGTTTGAAAGCTGTGCCTGCCAGACAGGAAGACACCCAGGGCTTCCCTGAGGACACAGAGGAAGATGAATTAGTGAGCAGCATTACATAAGAAGCTTCACCTTTTCTCTTTGAGTTCCCAAAATATCACATTAAGGCTTGGGATGTATCAGGCTGGAGAGATGCCCAGTGCTTAAGAGCACTTGCCGCCCTTTCAGTTCGATTCCGAGAACCCATTTTAGGCTGCTCACAACGACCTGTAACTCTGGTTTCTGGGATATAAATGCCCTTTTCTAACCTCTGTGAGCATTTTCACATGTGGTATACACACAAACACTTTTTAAAGATGGAATAATTTACGTGTACAAATTATTCAACATCTCCTAATACTTAATTTTTAAGTTTTCAAATATTAAGAAATCTTTAATACTCTTCTCATGTTAGAATAAAAAAATCCCACCCCAGGAGTACAAAACTTATTAATAATAACTGACACATTTTCCCTTGATTATTTTCTTATACTGTTTCCCTGCCAGCTTCATTCTTCTCAACTACTAAATTCTAATGCAGTCCCTAGCACATGATGTTTGTTTAGTAAGTTTCAAGCAATGAACAAATAAAATAGACAGACACAAATAGGGTATCTCACCTGGATCTTTT